CGGGGGGTGGGGGGGGGAAGGGGGGGGGGGAGAGCAGAGGGCCAGAGCCAGGTGGTAGGGTGCCATGGTTCAAGCTTGATTAAAGGGCTCAGCCTCGGGATCTCAAACGGTAAACCTGTAGTTATCAGAGGATTAAAATAGCTGGCAGATGACTAGAGAAAGGTTCTGCTCCCTGTTCATATTTACTTAAGAGCCTAAATCACATTCATAGAATCATAGAACTGGAAGAGCCCTCAGAAGGTCATCAAGTCCAGCCCCCTGCTCTAGGCAGGACCAATCCCAACTAAATCAACCCGGCCAGGGCTTTGTCAAGAACCGTTCTCTTTGCCCCTCTATATTCATATCACTTTTGAAGGCATCAGTGTTGATTGTGCCACTGACTAATTTTTCTCCCAGTGGAAGTTATTTCTCTAAATCTCTCTCTCTTTTGCGTGCATTCACACACACTCTGGCTACGTTTACCCTGGCCCCTTTTCCGAAAGGGGCATGCTAATTTCACAGGTCGTAATAGGGAAATCCGCGGGGGATTTAAATATCCCCCGGGGCATTTAAATAAAAATGTCCGCCGCTTTTTTCCGCCTTTTAGAAAAGCCGGAAAAGAGCGTCTACATTGGCCCCGATCCTCCGGAAAAAAGCCCTTTTCCGGATGATCTCTTATTCCTACTTTGAAGTAAAAGTCGGAAAAAAGCAGCGGACATTTTTATTTAAATGCCGCGGGGGATTTCCCTATTACGACCTGTAAAATTAGCATGACCCTTTCGGAAAAGGGGCTAGTGTAGACGTAGCCCAAGTGTCTGGAAATCAAGCCGTGCTCTTTTTAGCCTTTTCACATCCTCACTAGCAACCACCAGGAATAACAATTCTGGGATCTAAAACTAGCATGCAATTTTGTTGATGATGCACATAGTAGAAGTGATTACACTTGCCCTTCTCTTGCTACACTGTCCATAAGAGAGGCAACTAAAAATTTCTTGATATTATTTTGTGTTGATGCTAAATCAATAGGCAGTTGATGCTGACATATTAAAGGGGCTTTTCTATGATTCACTGGGGTCTAAAGCATGCAGAAACTATAAGAAATGTAAATAATAATTAGATTATATCCGATATACCATGTAGTAATGTGAACTGAAGAAAAAGAGCTAGATTAAATTTTCTGGTGATATCCGTAAATTCATCTTGCGACTGTCATTCATTGTAACTGCAGAATGAGCTTTAGAGTTAATGGGGAGGGACGATGGTGTCTTTTTTTATGCTTTACAAATTACTGCACATTTTTCACTGGACTGGGCTGGGAAGAAAGTGCAGGGGTTGGGATGAATGGTGCACTATGCACAAGTTAGGGGCAAAGGGGGCACAATGCAAGGTCGGTGATAAAATGTGTACAGGACAGAGGTGCAGGAGTTGGGAGAGCCCATGGATGCAAGAACAGTGGGAGCAAGGCTGGTTGGGAGGGAGATAGGGTGCCAAGCTGGGTGGTTTTCAGGATGAGTGGGTGCAGGGTCATGCACCGTGTTAATTATCCCTTGTTTTAGTATTTTTTTCTTCCATAATTTAAATTGTATGTGTGTGTGTGTGTACTTACTATATACATATATATGTTGTCAATATTGGTGCACAAGAAAATGCCTCTCTCCGCTCACGGCTGGAAAATCCTAGAGGGAACATTGATAAGGACTAAAAATAATTATTAAATATGGAAGCTTCAGGAGGTGAATTGCAAAGCCAAAGCCCTCAGCACTGATGGGAAAAGTAAAGCAAAGAAGTGCAACTCCTTGTGAGCATGGCAAGAATGACAAAGGAAACAGTAGCTCTGGACACTGTTTCAAAACTTGCATTCCAACTCTTCCCCCTTTCTGTCTTTGTTTCTCTTTTATTCATTGATGGCCCTGCTTGCCAGGGTGAAGTAGAGTTCAAATTCCATTTGTCATTAAGTGAAAGCTCCAAAGAGCTAGTCTATCTTCAAAGATAGAATTTAGCAGCAGCTACCTTTTCCAGAACTGAATCCAAGCCTCACAGATGCAGGCACTGCCAGGAACAACACGGAAATTAGGTGAAAAGTGCCGGAGCAGGCCCAAGCAATAGCATCCTCCTGTGTGAGGGGGAATGGTCAGGATGGCACAAAGACTTGGGCCAGAAATCAGAAGAGCTGAACTGGCAGTGGAAGCTGGCTGACAGGGAGGTAGAAGGTACATTCATATCCAGGGATTGTGATAATAAGGGTATGGGTACACTTGCCCCCTAGTTTGGACTAGGGAGGCAAGTGTCGACATACCCTAAGAGAACAAGAGAGTATTACCAGCAGTTAAGTCATGGAAAGGCTTCTTACACTCCTTGCAGTTACCATTTGCAACTCATCTGCCTTCCCAGTCCTATTTCCAAATTCCTTCTGCTCTTTGGCCCAACCCAGGAAAGCACATAGGGTAGGTCTACGCTGCAGCGATTTTCTGGAAAAACAGTACTTACGTCCACACAACTATTGCGTTCTTTTGAAAGAAAGTCTAAAGAATGGAGGGACTGTTACGATGGCGGTAAACCTCATTCTGAGGAAGAAGCCTTTTTCTGAAAAAGGCGTGTGTGGACCCAGAATAAAGTGTTTTTTCAAAAGAAGAAGCCTCCAGGAAAAAGCACAGGTGCCCTGGTGGCTACTCTGTCTATAATAATCACAACTTAAATGCAAAATAGTGTTCAATTAATGTGGACACTATCTTTCGAAAAAGCAGGTTGCTTTTTAATTGCGCTTTTGCTGTGTGGACGCTCTCTTTCGAAATAAGCTTTTCCAGAAGATCTCTTCCAGAAAATCTTCTTCCGAAAGAAGCTTGCAGTCTAGATCCAGCCTTAATCACATGCTTAAATTTAGGTACATACAGAAGGCAGTAGGACTTATAAATGTGTTTCAAGTCCTGAACAGAGATGTTTTCCTGAATGGGTGCCTAACAAATCAGCAAGCAACAGGTCAACTGGACCCAAGAAGACAACCAGGCAGAGGAAGACTAAAGAACTGAGGCTATGTCTAGACTACACTGAAGTGCCAAAAGAGGATATGCAAATTCTGTGGGAATTTGCATATCTTCTTCAGATCTCACTTTTGAAAGCAGTTGGGATGCATTTTTTTCGGCAAGCCACGTAAACCGCATTTTTTGAGGAAGAACGGCTTTTTGAAAAAAGGGGAGAGGGTTGCTGAAAAAAACGCATCCCGACTACTTTCATTTTTGAAAGCTCTGCTTTCAAAAGTGAGATCTGAAGAAGATATGCAAATTCCCACAGAATTTGCATATCCTCTTTCGGCACTTCAGTGCAGTCTACATGAGCCCTGAGAGAAGGCAATAATGTAAAATAAATATTGCATTGGATGCTTATTTCATTCAACTCTGTTGTCTTGGCTACCTGTATTCTGAAATGCATTACAAGGAACAGTATATAAAGTTAACAGAAGACAATTACTGAAACATGAATAAAAATGGAATATTATTTCACTTTATTAATTTTTAAAAAACAATTTTAGTGCAATTTTTGTAACTATCACTACAGAGAGTAATCCTTTCTAATGTACTTCAAGATCACGTTTTATTATAAATAAAAGCCATTTTGTCCAGTAGCATCAGCTACCATATATCCCTGAGACCGCATCTTCAATTGGCTTCTCATACCACATATTCTTTTTCCATAGTGCACATTTAGACAATAAGAAAAATACAATCCTCTAAACCAAAAATCAATCACATATTAAGGTAAAAATTGGCTGTCGATAGAACCAAGTGTTTCAGCTTGTGCATAAACCTAAAAAATAAAGTGTTGAGTCCTATCACCCCTAAGAATGGTAGGCAGACAATCGTTAAATCTGCTGAAAGCGAATTTCCTGGTGCATTTGGCCTAAGACATCCCCATACTTTTGGTACCAATGTCACAATTTAGAAAGATAAAAGTTAGTCTATCTGTTGGTTGCCGGGAAAGAAGACCAACAAAGCTGTTAAACCCTTTATACCAAATACAAGCTTGCTATGTTTTATTTCCCCATTCATTCCAAGTGGCAGCAGCAAAGCAAAGGTTAAAGCAAACTGTTCTGGGAAATTTGTTTTTTCCTGACTGGAGGAAAAAGGGCAAGAGATTTAGGCTATGTCTACACTGCAAAGCTATTTTGGGATACCAAAATAGCTATTCCATGTCTTTTGAGCAAGCCTGTTATTTCAAAATAAGTTCCATGAGGAGTAAGGGATGTTTCATAGTAATTATTTATTTCAAAATGAGTGCTATGTAGACAGTGCCAAATTTCAAAACAAGCTATTTTGGAATTGACTCGAAATAAGCTACACAATTTGCATAGCTTAAATTGCGTAGCTTATTTCGAGCTATGGGTGCAGCATAGATGCACCCTTAGTGAGGAGGATATTTTGAGGCTCCTTGTCTAACAGTCACTTAAGATACTTACAATTTTTTATCTCTAGTGACCAAAAGTCTCAATTGAAAGTCAACAGGACTTGGGCTTCTAAGAGCCAAGTGACTTAGGAAAACTTTATTCTAGGCCACAAAAAAGATAAAATATACAGTACCTGAAAAATAAGAAGATTCCATTTTCTGAATGAAGCTTAACTCTCATGCAAAAAACAAGGGTTCCTCCTGAAAACAAGCATATATAGGGTATGTCTACATAGCAGGGCCAAAGCTGAAATAAGCTATGTAACTTGAGCTACATCAACTTCGTAGCTTAAGTCAAAATAGCTTATTTCAGCTTTTGGCGCTGTCTACACTGCAGGAAGTCCAAGGCAGAGCACTCTTACTCCGACTTCTCTTACTTTGCATAAAATGAGGGTTACAGGAGTTGGAGTAAGAAGTCCTCCAGCTCGCCATTACTTTGACATTATGTCAAAATAACTGCTTATAGTGCAGATGCGGACTATGTTATTTTGAAATAACATCACTTATTCCGAAATAACACTGCTGTGTAGACGGCACTCATATAGATGAGTCTCATTAAGTCTACCCATCAAATTTAAAGTAATTAAAATATTTGTATGTTCCCACTATGCTATCACTGAGATCAATGGGGCTTTGCCAGCAATTTCAAATAGGAACAGGCACTCTGTAAGAGAAGACACTTGACTGAAGAAGGAAGGAAAAGATGATTGAAAAACAAAAATTACAAAACACCATCTGTGATGGCTTTGAAGTAACATTTAAAGATGCATGTGCACATTATATATATTAAATTTCAATTAAAAACTGAAGAGAAGCTCTGAACACTATATCAAATAATTAGAGGGGAAATGCTATGAAACTTTCAGAGGAAGGCACTATAGGACCAAACTTTTTTTTTTTTTTTTTTTTTAAAGAGTGGATCAAATATAATGCTCATAAAAAATGGGCTAGTAACAGTGACCTGAACCTCGCACAGTATGGACCAGTGCTATGAAAACCATCCTCATAAGCCTCTCATTTTCTCAATGCTGTTACCTGTATAAACATTAGTTTTGGCCTTCTAAAACAGATACACACAAATGAAGAGTAAGCTGCCAAACATTTTCCCTTATTACCTAAATTGGCATTTTAATTTATATCTCCATATGGAACAAACACTTTAAAATAAGGATGTAAAATCCCATTTAATTAGTCAGCCCCCACCAGTTAACCATTCACACCTCTACTTTAAAACATGACTAGATTTTTCAAAATTTGTCTTATACAACCATCTAAAGAACCAGGAAGGAGTGGTTATTCTTAAAATCAAGGTGGAGCAAAATTGCACAGGAAGTTCTAGAGGTTCTTTAAAATACTTACTTAGGATAAGTGCAGATACCAAATTTTACTTTTTAATTAATCATTTTTTCTTGAAGGGTTTTCAAACTTACTAGCACACAGAAAATACAACTTCTCATTTTACGAAAGGTTTTACATGATACCTGCGCCCGAGAAAAAGAACATCCCTCTGATCTACAGGCATGTCTTTATGAAGGATCCTGCAGCAGACAAGTCTGCATGAATCTGAAGGTTCAGTCATGCTGATGTTTCTTTTATAAAACAGCCTGTTGCTACTATACAGGCTTCGTTAGCGATCACTATTCTTTAGTAAAACATAACCGCACTTTGCATTTTACTGACAATATACCAGCATGTCCAAAATTAGGTGCTATTCACTTTTTAATTTAGTATTTCTACTGCTGCAATATCGCGGTGTGTTTATGAGCATTATCAGAATAGCCACCAGCGCCAACCCCACCCCAAGACTTGGAGGGCCACATGGACTGAACTCTTGTGCAATTCCTGAGAGAAGTGGAGCAATTATACGTCCCACAGAGGTCACAGACTGACCAACTCCTATTAGTGTGCCACTGGCCTGATTCCCACCTAGGGCCAACTCAAGGTCAGTGATGCACGTGCGTCCTACTGTGGTTGAAAATGCTAAAAATGTTGATGATAAAACAACCGTCCATATACTGAGTGCCGTGGAATACAGCATTATCAACACACAGGTGAGAACAGTGGAATGTAATAAAAGTGCATAAGTGTTATATTGATAGAGTTTTGTTATTGGTCCAAGTAGAAAACCAGCAAGTGCTCCAAGGGTGCTACTATAGCTTATGAGGTATCCTGTGAGCTTAGGTTTCACCCCAAATCTCTCTTCAATTGCCAGAATAAAGTTGCTATAATACAACATTACAGCTACAGACATTAGTAACCGTACTAAAAATATATCCCACAGATCAGAGCATGCAATGCTTTTAATCCTCTTCAGCACTGACACTACTTGAATCCACAGGGACTCATCATATTTCATTGCTCCATTAGCTAGTGATTTAACCTGTGGGTCATAGTTTGACTTTGCTGTCGCTTTGCTGTTACTAGTGGTCTGTTCGTTTTCATTATTCTCTGTGTGATCTTCACTCCATGGTAACATCCAGACAAGACCTGTGTAGGTAATGCAATGAGATCAGTTAATTGTGGATAGTTGCACTTTTTACCCCAAATGAAACACACAAGTTACCGTTATGTTTTAATGATTTCTCAAATCCCAGAAGTCAAAGACACAAATGAAAGTATATTGGACTTTGTGGGTGACATTTTATCTTAAAATAATCACAATACAGTTTACAAAAATTAAGCATAATATATAAGTGCAGTTAATACTGGTTTTCTGATATTTAAAATGGGGCTCTATAAAGAGAGAGAAAGGTTAAGTAACCGGCTCATGCAGTGAATACCTAGCAAATCTGAGAAATGAATTATTCTAGCCCCCATTTTGTACCTCTAGACACAAAAATACACTCCCTCTCTTGTATTTGGATGTAAAAAATACATAAAGAGGGGGAGATCTGTCTTATATTAACTATTTTCAAAAAGTCAGAAGTCATTCAAATTCAAAGAGCAGTTTGAATGCCCAGAACAGAAGATTTCAGACAAACCATTCTACAAACAGCATGAACACATAGCAGCACTTGAAAAAGCCTGAAGTGCAAAATGCTACCTACAACTTACCAGCATTCAGAATGAAGATGGAAGAACAGACAAAAGATGTCAGGTAAAAGCCACTCTCCAGCTCTGTAAAGTAGCCCCCAACCACAGGACCCAGAATGAAACCAACACTGGAGGCTGCATTGAAGTGTCCTATTACAAGAGGGCGTTCTCTCTCAGAAACCAGGTCAGAAAGAAGAGCTTTTGAAATGGACAGGGTGTGTTTGAAAATGCCTGCAAGTTAACATAAAAACATTCACTTTATTATCTGATTTATTTAGCATGTTATATTATTTATAAGGTTGTGTATAATTAAGGTTTGAAAATTCCATAAGCTACAAATCATCCAATGCCAGAGCTACAGAGGATAAGCTTGCCAGCAACCATTCCCTCAGCTACTTGTGAGATAGAAATCATGCTAAATGGAGATCTGTGTCAAGTGAGCAGAACTGCTTGGAAAAAAAAATAGAAGCAGCAGATCTGAATGGTGGATCCCAATAAAGGTGAGACATCTGCCAGAGACGCAGCATCTCATGGTTAGTGTTGGGAGAAAAAATGATACTGCTAGCTACAGACACTTGCAATTGATACAGCATAATCCCAGATTGCTGGACAGACAGTATTAGAGAAGCCATAATTAGTGTGAGAGAAGTACTAATTAGTGTGAATTTTGGGGCATTCTAGAAATGTTACATCTGCTCAGTGAAATATCTTTCTCTGCTCCTTCCTCACAAAAGTATGACATTGCATCACCATCCACAACTATTGATAATACAGGAGCATTACAAAAACTCTAAAGAGGTAGCTACATTTTTAAAAAAATATCAAACAAATCACTGAAGTTTCTTTACCATAAAAACAAATCAAAACAAAAACAAACCTGTCTTCTATATCAAGGAAACAAAAAATAATTCTTTGGAATGAGGCTAGATAGTCAGAAGTTTCAATGTCTACTATCAGATTTGTATATTAAGGCTGATAAAAACTTAGCTTTAGGGGCACAAACAAATATGCTTTTAAACAAGATACACGTTCCACTAAGAAATAAGCCAAGCTTTTAGATTGAAATATATGCTTGGTAGGATGACAATGTACGGCAGAAGTTATATCATGATGCACATGATGCACATTTTTAGAAGTTACTAACGATTTTGAGTGCTCAACTTGGGAAATATTATAGTAGCCTGAATTTCAGGAAGTGCTAAGTAGGGATATAAAATCTTGATTAGCCAATTAATGGAATAGGCGATGCAATTTGCATCGACTAGTCGATAAGGGTGCCTTCGTGAAAGGCGAAAGTGCTGCAGGGAGCATGGGACCAGTGGGGGTCCCATGCTCCTTGTGGCATTTCAGAGCATCAGCACAGCATGGAGCCCAGGGTCAGCAGGGGAGTCCTCAGCTGAACCTGGACAGGCTGCACGTTGCATTTCAAAGCGGCAGACCATAGGCTCCACACGGTGCTGCCGCTTTGAAACGCGCCCTTCTCTTTCCCCCTCCCCTTGCTGCCTCTTTCGGATACAGGCAGCAAGGGTGGGTGTGTGGGGGGGGGGAAGCAACTAGTCAACTAGTGTGTTGACTATCCGATAAGCATTTGCTTATTGGATAGTTTGACTAGTCATTCACATCCCTACTGCTTAAGTACCCATCCTCTGAAAAAACAGTCCCCACATTAAGGTGTCTCAGAAGTTGTTCACCTCCTCCTTATCTTCCTCCCCCCCCCCAAAAAAAAAAGCAGCACTGAAAATTACCAATCATATTTGTTACAAAAATTATGAGGAAGTAATGAAAGATTAAATAAAAAGATCAACTTAGAGTTCTTTTCAAAATTGGGGTTCAGTAGCTGCCAAAGAGCCATTATACAAAAAGTGGTAAAACTGTTCAAAGTTGCTGTCCAGCTTGTCACCATATCTAAACAACATGATTTTCCAAGCAATAATTCGCAAACCAACAGACTGATTATAAAGCCAAGTACAAAATCAATTACTCACCTACAGGGACCCTAGCAATGGCAAATAAACACACATTGGTGGACATGCCAAGCAGGAAATAACCCAGTGCACTGAAGAGGATACAGGCAAGCAGGGAATATTGTCTTCCTATTACATCACTCCAGCAGCCCTGGTAAAACAATAAACTAGTACTGAACTATCCATTGTGAAAAATATGCATGTCTGAATTAAATTGATTACCTCTCTTTTCAAAAGAGAAGTCCCTGAGGGACGATCAGTGGAAACATTCACAAACAGATTAGATAACATTCATAATAGTTCTGTGTCTAGATGCCAGAGGCTGGACATGATGGACTAAATTCAACCCTGAAGTCAATGGGAGAAGCACCTGCTTGCATCCTGAATTAATTTTACTAGATGAGATATGAAAGCCAAGCTTCATTTAATCTCTCATTTTCGTTTTATGTAAACCCAGGACAAATTTAGTGAAATATCACTGGCGTCAGTCGAATGAAAATGCCATCACACCAACACTGACCATTAGTATTTGTTTATAATAGCAACTACTATGTGCTAGATGCCTGGCAAACATTCAGAGAGGGCAGTCCCTGCTTGAGGGAGCTATCAGTCTGAAGGCAAGCAAACAAAAAGAGGTTATGGGAAGGGAAAAACTAATAGATAACCTATACCCAATAAGTCAACTAGTTTAATTACATGCATCATGGCAGAAAAGAATCTTTACGCAGGAGAGGATAGGAACCATACACAAGTCCAGGGAAGCTGCAACACCAGAGGAAAAGATGACTAGGTGCCACACAGGTGGATGAAATCTAGGAGCACAGATCTGAAGTGCTGGCAGATACAGAATGCATTCCTGAACTATGACCTTTCTGGGAAAGGGGTGCGGGGGGAAAGTATAACCTATGGGGGAAAAAAAGTTTGAGACATGATGCATGGATTAAGGTCATCGGGCACATTTCAACAGACTTCATATTAACCAGAGAATGGCAAACACCGATTACACAATTTCAGAGATCTGATCCATAATATTATTTCTTCCTGCAGACTACTACTTTGAAGAAAACTGTTTTAATAGCAATGATGTTAAACAGAACATTGAATGACTGACACATTTGACTGATTAAGCTGCTATTTTGAATGAAGACAGAGATTTGCTATTCAGCTAAAATTTCATCTGGTGTACTAGTCACCTCAAGGATTAGAGTTGTTCCTATAATTGAAAAAAAAAAAGTTCTGCATAGATCAGAACAGTTTCACCAACGTCAAGGGCTTAGGTGAATACTAGTAAATGTACAGTTTCACATTCCCCAAAGTATTACCATTAATGTTAACAATTTTCTCACCAAGTTAATAGAAACATCAATATATTTTTAAAGATCCAGTATTTAAAACTTACCACAAACGTGCTGGAAAAGAGCTGCAATAAACCATAAAAAGACCCTAAAATAAAAATAGTGAAAAAAACTCACTGAGAATTAAACATGAACAGCCTTCTGAAACTGGCTTAAAAGTGGTTCGGCAAAGTGGGGAAATTAACTGAATAATTCAGTAGAAGAATGGGGAGAGGCAAAAGAAAGAAGTTGGGTACAGTCCGGCATGAACTATAGCAACAGGAGTTTCATCATTTTGATGAATGATTGTTCCTCTTTTCTGGGTGTCTCAAAATTGCAACACTATAACCCAGAAGTGTATAGGTAGAAGTATGTTGTTTTGCCAAGAGAAATAACTGAAATTGGGACAGTTGGCATCTTACACCAAACATTATGACCAAACATTATGACAGGGCATTGCAGCAGCCCTGCAAGAAATTGCAAATCCTACCCTTCAAAATGAAGGGTAAGAACCTAGCAGCAATTGACAGTAGGAGAGAAGGAACAGACGATAACAACAGTTTCGGCATGGAGTCAACTTTACAATACTTGTCAGCCTGTTTTATTCTTTAAAGGACACCCTGGATGCCTGCCTTTGTCAGTGCTTAAGTCAATGCAGAATGTAGAGGTTGTTCGTTTATGAGTTTGTACAATTACTTCACTTAAATTGTAACAGCTAGGACCACCAAATTTGGTATGTAGCTTCCTCTTACCCAAACTTAAACCAGTGTCAGGGTTTGGGTGTTCCTGGAAAATCGGAAGTGCCAGGAATGGAACTGTTTTCCATAACATGGAAAGGAAAGTGGTAGAGAGGGGAGGGACATAAAAGGGAAGGGCACAGAGAGGACGGACACAATGCTGAGTGTGGCCTCTGAGAGCAGCTGCAGCACGAAGAGAGTGACCAGACTGGGTGAGTAGCCCCCATGCCCCAAGTCCCCCATACCTCAAAGCCTGTCCCCCTCATGGAGAGCCTGTAGGCTGTGGAGGGCACTGGAGGAGGGGGCAGCCCCTAGAGCCCCCTGCCTCCTTCCCCCTTCCCTGAGGCCATACATCCTGCCTGGAGCTCCTCCATAGCTCCCAACCCTTTGTCCTAAACCACAGACCTCCGCCTCTCCTTACACCTGAACCCTCAGTTTCTTTCATTTTTTAAAAAAAGGTTAATTCAGTTAAAGACCTGAGCAATGCTAGTATAGTTATAAAGAAGACATATTTATATCCCCATTACTATTTCTAAACTAGATCTGTATTTGTGTTGTAAGCCTGTATCCCAGAATCACTTCAATGGAGAAGAGGAAGTTACAGAATCCAAAAAGATCATCATTTGAAACACCCCCGTATAGTAGCTCCTGAAGACATATTAGTAGGAAAATCATGATTATAAGAGGGAAGAATTAGCCACAGAAAAATGTCTGTCTTGCTTACATCCTATCATTCGTTTCCACAGTATGGAAATTAAAGGTTGGTGATGCTACATATCTGACTTTATGTCATTCATGGGGCAATCAGTACCCGTGCTGTACTCACCTACAACTCCTGCAACAGTTGGACTTGCTCCTAGAGACTTGATATGAACATTTAACAGAGGCACAACCATACTCACACCAAAGAAGTCCTGAAAGAATAAGGAGATGGAGTTTCAGTGACTAAGCATATTTACAAAGATACAGAAGTCAAGATATAGGAATAAATTATTCTGTATTTTAAATAACAATCTAGGGTCAGATCAATAACTAGGAAGACTTCACTCAACCCACCATATTATGTTGTTTAAGTGCTTCCAGCATGAATGTAGTTTATTGCTAGTATAGTTTTTCCAGATGCCCTGAATGAAACAAGCTATATTGGTAAAACCACAGTTTTGCTGGTATAACTGCATCTACATTACTGGTTCTAGAATGCACAAGCTATGCAGTTATGTCGGCAACACTGCTTTCGACACACATCTGACCAACACAGTTCTGTGGGGAAAAGTCTGTGGTGCAGACGTGGCCTACAAGAAATAAAAAGTTCTGTATGACAGAGAATGTCTTTTGTTCCATAATTATTACAACTGGACATGTTTAAAGCTTAAAGCTATGAAAAGAACCTCTTATCTAGTATGAAAAAAAAATTAAATGGTTCCAAATAAATGAAAAAGACAGAGCAGGGGATGGGGGGTGGGAGGGGGGGGGGGGGCCCATGCAGCCCACTCACTGCCCCAGGCAGCCAGCCTGGGGGTGGGGGAAAGCTGTGCATACCTAGTGCTGGTGCTTTCTGGGTCCAGCTCAGAGGCTGGCCTACCACCAGCAAGGGCTGGCATGAGAGAAAGGGGGAGCTGGCAGAGGAGGGGCTGCACAAACCTTCTGCTGGTGAAAGGGTGGAGGTGCTGGCATTGGGGGCATGTCTGTGCACCCCACCCACTGGCATTCCCCAGGCCCACCCTGAGGTCGCGAGGGTTGCACAAATCTCCGGGAGTGAGTAGGGTGGTGTCCCTGGGGAGTCTGCACAAGGGATATTAAAATGCTTATAATTAAATAACTGTGTAACTGCTGAAACTATGTAACTTCTGTATCTTTGTAAATTTTCAGCAGTTACACATTTCTTACATTTGGCAGCATTCAGCCCCCGTCTGCTGGTCCACGCTACTACTTCCAGTACAGAAGCAACAGCACAGGCTGGCAGGTGGCTCCTCAGGAGCTGGTGCATGCAGGGAGCCGGCTTTTATGCTGGCTCCTTCCACATACCAGCTTCTGCCTGATACCCTCTCCTCAGCTGCTGCATCAGAGGCAGCAGCACAAGATGGCAGATGGTTACTAAGGAACTGGTGCAAGCAGGAGCCTGCAGGTAACTGTGAATGCTCAGTGGCCAGCAACTACTCCCTGGAGCAGACCAGGGAGTCGAGTGCTTCCAGCCAGCGGTTTCCATCTGGGGCACTTGCTACCTCCCCGCCGTGATCATTCCACAGTATAACGGTGTCTTCTGCCAGATCCCTCCCTTTCCATTAAATGAGAACAACAACTGAATTCCAGGCACATCCCATTGTCCTGGCACAACCAAATCCAGTACTTTCTTTAAGTTAGGATGAGATGACGCTTCCTCTCAAATTTGATAATCCTAGCTCTTATTATTTAGGAGAAGTTCTTAAACAAATGAGCGCATGAATAGAAAGAGTGATGCATGTTTCTAAAATTATATATATATTTAAAGTTGAATAATTTTTCTGAATTTTCAAAATGATAGGTTTGCGCTAATTTCATTTTTAATATAGCTATATAAGTAAGTTGGAGTATCATGCAAATAAGAAAAAAGCTTCTTTGTACAAATATTTAAGTTATGAAAACAAACACATTTAAAGCACTGGTGCTACACTTTACATGCAATTTATAATGGGAAAAGAGGCTTGGGGGCATGTATAAAAATATTAGATCAGACCATTTCTGTAAATAGCCCTATTCCAGAGGATCTCTTATTCCTACTTTGAAGTTAGGATGCAGTGGAATAAGTAGGAATAAGAGATCCTCCGGAATAGGGCTTTATTCCGGAGGATCGCGTCAGTCTGGACGCTCTTTTCCGGCTTTTCCCCAAGCCGGAAAAAAAGCGGCGGCCATGTTTATTTAAATCCCGCGGGGGATATTTAAATCCCCCGCGGAATTCCCTATTCCAAAGTTCGAAATTAACATGCCTCTTCCGAAGAAGGGGCCAGTCTAGACGTAGCCAGCCATAGGCTCTGTAAAAGTAAGATTTTACATAATTTAGTTTAACAGACCTGAGGACACATTGTCATCAATATACACTAACACAATTTTTTGTTTGACAGTAAACACTGCACTGCATCCTAACTTCAGAGTAAAAAAGACTAGATTATTTCTACGGTCCAAACTAAATTAAAAGTAAGCAGCTCAGATTAAATAATATTCTCTTTTACAAATATCTGGTATTATCATGAAAACTTCACTATTAGACTGTACATGCAATCAAGTTTTTAAAATATATTAGAAAACTTTATTTTAAAATATGATTTTGTAAATCAGTTATGTTTCTTTAGTCTCACTTTGTGAATATGAAGATGTGGTTTAGGGCAATCTACATTCATTTAAAAAAATGAAAGACAGCTACATGAGTGGAGAGAAGCTTTTTTTTTTTTAAACCACCTAAGAGTGTTTTATTCCATATACAGTACAATGCATTCTTTTTTATTACAGTGCATGCTCTTCCTTGTATGGTTATTGAAAACCTACAAAAACTACTTAAGAGTAACTGTAACTCCTCTTTGAACATAGGCCGTAGGGAATTAAACACTAAGCGAAAGTCTTTAAGCATTTGCCTTAAAAGACAGAACCGATGGTCATAAACCATCTTGTTAGTCTTTAAAGTGCTACATTGTCCTGCATTTTGCTTCATCCTACTTGATAGGGACTATAAAACAGCACCAAGGATAAGAACATACCTGCTGGAATGTGGCTTCTAGCCAGTCTCAGATTATGGGGAAATCTCTTAGGCCCTCAAAACTGTCTCCCTGGATGTGAGCAATACTGTTGTGAGTACCGAACAGAGGAAGACTGACTTTGCCAATCCCCGAGTGTAGGCTTTTGGGGAATTTCTCAGACCCTTAGGACTCCCTCAGGAAGCTCAAGGGCTTTTTGTGGTCAGGCATCTATTCTTGTTGCCAAGGCCGGGGGAGCTGCAAGCATGACAGTGGGGATAAATGCAAACACAGGAGACTTGGGGGTTGTCCGAACAGGCTGTTAGAAAGGTGCTGGAGGGATCACTAACAGCACGGGGCAGACGATCTTTCATACACTGATTGCACAGATGTAAAGTGTAAGTTGGATACATCCCCCGCCCCTTCCCCAAAATACCGGCAGTGATGGGCCAGGGGGGCTACCTGACTTCAGCTGAGGATCGTTTCCCACTTTTTTTTTGGGGGGGGGGGGCACAATTGTC